TTGAGAGATCCAAGTCTTCATCAAACAAGACATCTTCAGCAACAACAACGACAACAACAGAGACATACCATTAGACAACAACAACAATACCGCCGCAGCCGCGCCTGTCCTCCGCCTCAATGTCGGCTCAAGGTATCAGCGGTACAGCCCATCATCGTTTTATCGGTGGCGGCCAGAGTAGTCCGACTGCAACGTTGCTTGCCATCAATGGTGGTCAGCCGACGACCCGGACCAAYATGGGCTTAATCGATGGTCACCATCATAGTCATCACGGCAGCAGCGGTGCTGGTGGTCATCATCATCATCATCATAACGCGGCGGCTGTAGCCGCAGTGGCCAATAAGTGCAAAGACATTTTGATGAACTCTCTAAACAACAACAACAATGTTGTGGTCAACGATAGTAACAATAATATGAGCGGTAGTGGTGGCAGTGGTGGTGGTGGTCATCATCATCATCAACACCAACATCATCAGCCACAGCAAAACGGCCACAAAAGTGGCCTTAATATCAATAATATGTTTTCGATGCCATTGAATAGTATGATTAGTTGTCTTTGAAATTATTTTCCAATTGATCCCTAATGTGTGTCCTGTTTTTTTTTTCACCGATTCATTCAGATATGCCGCCGCTTTATTTGTTTAATTCCGATCACAATCCRATGCGGACATCACAAGGGATTGGTGGTGGTGGACATCATCACCATCAGCAGCAACAACAACAACATCACAATCAGTCGTCGCCGCCAACAACAATACCGCCACTGATGTCGGCACACTCTGCCGGCGGCGGCGGTGGCAGTGGCGGCAGTACTGGGAGTCCGCATTTGACTCCGCATAAGTCGCATCCAGTTATAAATCATCACCACTTGAACAGTACGGTCCACAGAGATGGTAATACGCCGTCACCGCTCAGCCTATCGTCGATCTCAAACAATCTGAATGACGGCACAGGTATGCAAACAAACACTCCTATAGATGATTGTTGACACAAATACTTGAAGATCTTATTTGATTGATTCCAGTCCTATGTGTTTATTRTGAAAATTATTTAATATATTAACAGGAAATGCATTTTCGATGTCAAAACATTCGTCGTCGTCGTCGCGCAATTCGGACGGTCTAATATCGGGACTGAATTTTGGCCAAAACGATGGTTTCTTAAGCTATCATCAGTCGTCGCCCGCCGAAAACCCGACATCGACGCCCACCAGTTTTACGACATCATCACTGGACGGCTATCTTACTGGCGGCGGACAGGGAGGTCACAGTTCTAATCATTCGTTCGATTTGCTCGATTCGGACTCGTTTTCCGAAATGCCGAACACATTGTCACCGAATTGCCAATCGTTTGACGACAACAACAACAACAGTCATAAACATATGTCAGTGTCGGGTCCGTCACCTCAGCACAAGACAGATAGCGGCGGCAGTGGTGGCAGTAGTAGTGGCGGTTGCGGTAATGGTCCGGGACGAAARAAACGTAAAAACGGTCCGCCGGTTCGGCCCCAGTGTCCCGAATGTGGCAAAGAGTTTTCCAATCAAAGCGCACTGTCGAAGCACAAGTTGACCCATTCGGACGAACGCCGATTCGTTTGCAACCAATGCGCCAAAGCGTTCAAACGACAGGACCATCTCAACGGCCATCTATTAACGCACAGAAGCAAAAAGCCGTACGAATGCGATGTCGACGGCTGCGAGAAAACCTATTGCGACGCCCGATCGCTGAGGCGACACAAAGARAATCATCATCCGACTGGTCCGCCAAACGGTACGCCAAACCAGTTGTCGCAGACACTGGCATTCATACCGGGAATTCCGCTCAACTTTTCCACGTCGTCTAACCCGACGACGATAACAACGACGGCGTCGGCACCAACTGCTGGCTCAGTAGGACTGACGGTCAACAATAACTCGTTGAATCGCATTCAATACGCACCTCCGCCGCCGGCACCACCACGTCCTCCCGCGTCCATCATTACGCAAACCATACCTACAACTGCCACCATTCCTGCCGTACCCGATATACAATCAGCCGGCGGCGGCGGACACCAATCGGCGGCCACACAATTGCAGCGACTGGCGCTTCACAAACAGGACAATATCAACAACAACAACAACAATATTATGGCCGATAAATGGAAACACAGGGACAACAACAACAGCCAYCACTCAGCGAMCGCCGATAAGTGGAACTATACGTCGGTTATCAATAAGAATATAAATAATATGTTAAACAATGGTTCGGCTGCTGATGTCGTCAAACAACAACAACAACACATTGCCGTCAAACAAGAGTTGGCTAATAAATTGCAATCAAATACGGGTTTATTGAACGCCGCGACCGTTGCCGCCGCCGCTGCTGCCGATAGTCCCGAAAATGCATTATTGCATCAGTTGCTGACCAACGGTCAGAGTGTGGACAACAGTCAGCCACAGCCACAGACACAAAAAGTAGTACAACAACCATCGTCTCAGCAACCGTTGTATCAATTGATTCAACAGCAACAACAACAACAACAACAACAGAGTCAGCTGAACCATCAGCACTCAAAGCAACAGCAAATTGGTCACCAAAGGCATCCATCACCTCATGAACTAACCTATAGATCTCAACCATCATCGCAACAGCCATCGTCTAATGAGTCACAACAACAACAACAACAACAACAGCAACAGTTGGCCGACAGCTGGCCGTACACTATGTTCACGCATAACAAGTCTGAACCACAACAAGTGGAGTGTTCACTATGTCAGAGAAAATTCAAAAACATACCGGCGCTCAACGGTTAGTCGGATATTTAAAATTTCAATTAAACTATTTTTATAATAAACTAATTTGTTTTTTTTTTAATTGAATCAATAGGTCATATGCGACTTCACGGCGGTTACCTTAAGAATCAATCGCAAAACAACAACAACAATAGTGTACACAATGGATCAATCGGTTCCAAGAAACAAGAACAACTTCTGCAGCAGCAAAACAATAGCAAACACTCGTCAGTGGACAACAATCAGATGAATGCCAACGTTAAAGCCATACTCGATGTCATCAAAGAGAAGATATCGCGCAAACAACAAGCGGCGGCAGCAGTGGCAGCGGCGGCCAATGCTAACGGATCCACTGGTTTGGGTCCACCACCGCCTCCACCGATACAACAACAACAACAACATCACCACATTCATCATCACCAACAACAACAACAACAACAACGACAACAGTCACACATACACTCATTGCATGGACCGCCGCAACAGCAAACAATGAACAGTCCGATGGCGCCAATACTGTCGCCAATAACACCAGTAACGCCGCTAAACAGCAGCAGCAGCAGTGGTCAGGCATCGAGTTTTAACTATGACTTTCATCATAATACTGGTGGCAATGCTGCGACCGCATCCGTCAGCAACAATGGTCTAAACAATTACGACATCGGCGACGATGACTACGACGATAATCAGCAGCTAATACTACTYAAACAACAGTTGCAACAGACGGAACTGTTTCGTATGCCTACCCAACCGTCGGCGGCCACTATCACACAGAATAGGCTACTGGCGGCCCAAGAACTTCGTCAGCAGCAAAGTCGCCGACACAGCGATTCGAGTGATATAAGTAGTGCCAACAACAACAGTGTGGACAACAACAATGTTGGTCAGCAAAACAGCGCCGTAGTTACCAAACAACAACAGCTACAACAACAACAACAACAAATGTCTTACCAATCGACAGATCTATATGCGACCCAACAGTTCAATGATCTGCTTCGTCGGCGAACACAACGGACGTGTTCGGATCCCGGCTCTTCGGATCAGCCATTGATGACCATAAATACCAACTATCAGTCCACACAACAACAACATCAGCACAACAACAACAACAACAATATGTTTAACCATCAATACTATAGTCATTCGGTGCCAAATACGCCCACACTTTGTCAAAACAATTCAGCACATCATCAACAACTACAGCCACACTCGTTGCCATCGACGCCGACCGCGGCTGCGGCTCCCGTAACGTTTGTCCACTCGCCCAATCATCATCAGACTTCTGTGCCCAATACGCCCACCGACGCCAACCAACAGTTCAGTTTTATGACCGTCGCGTCGCCGATGAATCACAGTTCAGTACATTCGCAGTATTCGGCTTCGCCGTCATCAGTGGCCGCCCAATACTCGCCGAATACACCGTACAGTCCGAATCACGCGGCTGTTCAACATTTTACTTATTCAGTGCCACAACAACAACAACAGCAGCCAACACAAGCACAGACACCTGTCTATGAGGACCATCACCACCACCAGCAACAACAGCAACAGCCTATCGATGCCAATACATATGAAGATTCACAGATGTACGACGCGATCAGCGACTATACACACCATACATCCGGTGGTCCGACCGATACTACATTAACTGATGAACAGTTCAACTTTGATGACGATGAGGACGACAACAACAACAACACTAACCATATGACCACAACAAATGGCCAATACTTTACCGAAACATTACCGCAAAATCAGATGACAACAACTGTTGTTACGGCTAACATACAAATGAATGGCCAACCGATGGATCAAATGGCCATCGATTCGATTAGTCGACAACAACAAAAACAACAACAGTTTTTCGATAGCTATACGTCCGCCACCGCCGCGACCAACAATAATAATAACAACAACGCTAGTCATGACTACAATCAAATCGTGACGACAACAACACCTGTTAACTATGGCCAGACATCGGCCGACTATTGGACACAACAACAACAGTCGACAACAATGTCATCAAATATACAAATGTCGTCTCAAATGAAACAACGACAACAACAACAGCAAAGTCTACAGCATATGGAGACACAAATGATGACAATACAGCCGCCGACGATGACCTCCAGCGAACCATACATAACAACAACAACAAACCCAATAACTTCCAATACATTGTCCTCCAATCACTTGCCGACCGCTAACATAATATCACCACAATTGGCAAACAGTTCATTTAATATTAACGGTAATAGTCAACAACAACAACACCAGTCTTCGACCACCACTTTTGTTGGCCAACAACGAGCGTCTTCGCTGAACATACGCAGCAGTACTTCATCGCCGCCTAATCTGGTGGTCAACTTAGAAAAGATTGACGAATGCGAAGAGGATAACAACGCCGCTGCCGACGATGTGTTCCTAAGTCCTGTAGGTTTGGCGCCGTCGCCGAAACGATCGTTGCCGGCCACTCCTACCGGTACTATATCACCGAAACGTCTCAAACATCGACCGGAACCGCTTTACATTCCGCCGCACGTCAACACTTGTGGCTATCAGTCGCGTCTACGATCGCCGCGACTCTGGGATCCGGCAGCAGTTGTCGACACGAAAAATCTATCGCCGCCACCCTATACACCGCCGCCAATGCTATCGCCGGTACGTTCCGGTCCCGGCCTGTTCTGGCATATCATCAGCGGCAATATGACACCGAAAAGTGGTACACAAATACAGCCCAAGTTTGTCTACTCGCGGAAGAGCTCTTCCGATTACAAACCCATAGAGGAACCCATAGTACAGACACCGGTTACGGCCTACGAACCGTATCCGTTGGACAGCGAAATACCTGAGACGGATATTCAGCCGCACGTTAATATCGGACCCAGTTATCAGGCAAGGATACCGGCGTTCAACAAGAATCGTGATGAGGCCAAGTATAGGCCGGAAAAAGGTGATATCGTATGGGATCCCAAATGTGCCGAACGGTTGACCGCCGAAGATATCGAATCGTTTTTGGATCTGTCGTGTTCGGCTTGTGTTCCCGGCTCTGGCCGTAACAAAGAGTATGCCATGCATTTGCTCTATTTGAGCGATGGTGACGTTCAAGACGCTATCGTTAAGCTACTGGAGCCGAGTCCTACGATTAATGGTGGACATCCACTATCCGATTATCATTATTCAGGTATTAATACAATTAAACTGTTATCTAATTTAACTGTTTATCTAATTATTGAGTTATTTTATATAGAAAATGACATTTGGGTACCGGAAGAGATCCAATCATATCAGTGCGCACTAAACAAATGTGATAAAGACTTCTTCAGTATTGCCAAAGAGGTTAATGATCTCATTGATTGATTGATTTGTTGTCCACAAAAAGTTATTTACATAAACTCTATGTCTCTTTCTTTCATATATATTAGATTGGATCCAAATCAGTGAAACAATGCATCCAATTTTACTATATGTGGAAAAAAGTTTGTCCCGAAGAGTACCGACGGTTGCGTATTATTCGCCGCAAACGAGAACACGAAACCATTTTCTATAATTTGCGGTCAAAAGAAGCCGAAGAAACAAACAACGCTAACAACAACAACAACAATAATAATACCAATTCGACAAAAAGTGATAATGACTTTGATGTTGATAGCGATCTGACTAATGGCCCGAACGGCAACAGTGGCCAGTCGTCCGATTTTGATGACAACGTATCATCGTTTATGGACAGCGGGAATCCGAGTCCGGCCAACAGTATCGGCTCTCAGGTGACAACAACGACGACGACAACGGTAGTTGATTTTCCGTGCAAAGTGTGCGGCAAAGTGTTTAATCGGGTAAAGTCCAGGTCAGCCCATATGAAAATTCATGGCAGCGGCGCTGCCGCCAAATATTGAACGCAATGCCTATATATATATATATATATTTGTTTATTGGTTACAATTGACTTTAAAGTCAACTGTGTTTATAAATATATATATATATTAATACATAAAAATAGATTTACAAATCAACGATAAGACTATATATAAGAGAGAGAGAGAGAGAGAGAGAAAAAAAATAATGAATTGTTATATTTTGTTTGACAAATAAATATTTTTATCACTCAATTGAATTTGAGGGCTATTTTATTGGTGGCCCTCAAACTGGTGACTCTCCCCCTCCATCCCTCCCTCCCCCCATACTCTCATCTCATGTACTTTTAATTCCCATTTTAAATATACATTATATATACTGTATATATATCATCTAATATATATACTGTATATAATTAATTGTTGCCATTATTTAATTATTTACAAAAATGATAACACAATTATTTATATATATATTATAAAATATACTGATTAGGAGTTATCTATATTATTATAGGTAAAAATTATTTTGAATATAAATAATCATTATTACTATTGTATTATTATTATTATTATATACATATAATATGAGATGAGATGTTATATATATAAATATATTGAATGTTTTATCAATCAATCGATTGAAACTTACAAATATTATTATTATTATTATTATTATTACCTATTAATATAATTAATATACCTTTTACTGAAAATATAATGTATAGAAATTTTTTTTGTGTGTTTTAACACAAAATAAAAAACTAAAAACAAAATATATATTTTCTGAGAAACAAAATGTGAGATTAAAATTAATTACCATTTGTTGATGAAAAGCACTTATTTAACTGAAAAAAATATATATATTAACTATATTTCTAAACTTTATATATCTATATATATGTTGAAACTTATTAAAAAAAAAATATTTATCTATCTTTAAACTTGTTAATTATTATTATTATAATTAATAATTTTTTTTAACTAAACAATTACACATAATATTGAAGTTATATTTTTCATTTAACGCTAAAAAAATCCTATTTTACATGTTTTMTACATTATGTGTGTGAAAAACAATTAAAAATTTTGTTTTTAAAATATTTAATTAATATATATATTTTTGTTAAAAATCTCAATAATATATATATATWTATATAAATATTTTAATTTCCTTTCCATATACCTCCCGGTGTTAATACAAAACAATTWAAAAAAACTAAAAATTACTTTTAATTTTAATTTCTTATCTAATATGGAGTGCCTTTACTGTTGTTGAATGAATTGAAAGATATATATAATGTTTTTGTATTATTAAAAAATTTAAATTTTAAAAACAAAAATCTATTTCTATTTATACATACAAAACAAAAACATTAAAAAAAACTTTTATTACTAAATATTACTATTACTATATAATTGTTAATTATTATTATAAAAATTTTAACTTTTTTAATCTTAACTCTATATATATATATAAAACGGTGCTTTAATTTTGCTCTGAAATTGTTATATTTTAAATTGAAAAAAATTGTTTGTTTTAATTTTCTCTAAGTTTTTAATTATGTTTATATTTGAGATAAATAAGTGCATAAAATCTTTAAAAAATTAAATAATTGTTTCCCAAATATAGTAAAAAATGTATATTTTTGATCGGGAATATTCCTGTAAGTTTTTTTTGATCGGGAATATTATAAATGATTCATAAATAAGTGTCAAACAAAATAATAAATCAATTTTTTTTCAATRAATAAGAAAATTGATTTATAATTTATGTAAAAAAATTTGATGTAAAATATTTGATAATTGAATATTATATATATATATATATATATATTGAAAATATATATTTTTTAGTTTTAATTATGTTATTACTACTAATGTTATTTATTTTTTAAGTAATTATAATATCTGATCTCAAATCTCATATTATTATTATTATTATTATTAAAATGATAATTGTTATTTTATATTATATATATATWTGAATTTTAGAGCCCAAATTAAAAATCTTATTATTATTATTATTATTATTAAAACATTTATCATACATTACATTAACATTTCATTAATTAATTAGTTAATTATTATTATTATTATTACATTAATGTATAACTGATTCTTAAGACAATTTTGTTAATATAATTATATATTTAATTGTAATTAATTTCTATATATAATTATAATTATTAAACATTATTAATAATTTTTAAGGCCATTCAATATTGTAATGATAATWATTATTATTATTATGTATTTTATTTGAGACGAAAAAATCAACTGATTGTTTGTTGATATTATAAATGAATTAAATAATAATTAATTTTTAAAATTTAAATTAATTATGATTTAAATGATAATAAACATCAACAACAAAAAATACATCCCTCCTATCCATTGAGTCTTATATAAAAATAATACATTATTATATAATTATTCAATACATTTAATATATATATATATATATATACATACATATAAAATGTATTTTTCTATTGATAAAAAACGCAAATGTTTAACTACATTAAAAACTTATATATATATATAATTGTTTTTAAAAAAATAATGTTTAATATTATATATATATATATATATAGTTATTGTATAAAATGCAAGTAATTATTGTTGTACTTAAAAAAATTATTGATATTAATTATATTTTAAATGTATAGAAAACAAATAATATCCAACTTTTTTATTTAAACAAAAAAATGTTTATTGATTTTGTGTTTCTATTATAWATTGATTGATTGATATATGTGAAAAAGGCATTTAATTATATATTATTATTATTATTATATTATATATATATATAAAATAAATCATAAAAATATTTTTTCATTTGTTATCAATCCCATTATATAAATGTAGAGCTCATACCTAAATAAATAYAATAWATATATATATATATATATACAGTAAATATTTCATAAATGATATTTTCAAAAATTAAAATTGTTTTTAATTTTATTTTTATCAAGCTCAATAATTTAAAAATAACAAACAAACACACACACACACACATCAATTTGTTAAAATATCAAATAAATTATTTAAATAATAAAAAACAATTTATTTAAACTAATTAAAAAATTTTTTTTGTTTGTTTGATTAGAAAATTAGTTAAAATTTCAATTTTTGAAAAAATAGACAACTAGTAGACTGGTCTCAACAAAAATTAAAACATACCGGTGCTATATGACCAGCATATATATATATATATATATACCATTCCTGTATAATTGGGGAGACAATCATAAATAAATAAATAATAAAATATTTATTTGCATTTCCTATAAAAGCCATCATTTAATTTSAAYGAATAATTAGGTTAACTATAAAAAGTTGATTAAATTTTTACATTAAATATATATATATATATATATTATTTGAAACTTTTTTAAATGCAATGTTAATAATAATAATAATTAACAGACAATTATAACCACAACAACAGYAAAATATAAGATGAAATCTTAYTTAACATTGCTATAACTGTGCTAATGATAATAATGGTTGGCCATCGACAGTGCCTACAATTAGTTGATGATAGCTTATCATCGCAACAGTCAGCACCGGTAGCTGCYGCTGCCGATGATAGTATTGTAGTCATACGTTTGGACGATAGTATGAATCGTATACTCTATGATCTATTTATGGCTGTTTTCGTCAACAAAACTGATACCAATTCGGCGGGTGRCGACCATATGRTCGAACTGCCCGTCCAGACAGTGGTCGAACTCTACCGAAACTATACACAGGAACAGATCGATTCGGTACGGGTAGAGCTCGAAAAGTTGGACACCCGTTTCGATGTGGTACGGCAGCGGGTCAATGGACTGGAGGAACGATTYTATGTGGCCAACATCGAGTACGCGGTGGCCAAAAATTTATCMGAATATGAACAACAGTTTATAGCKATTGGCGAACAATTGTTGACCATTCAGAAGTTGGTCATCAAATTTACTGAGAACGTTTGACAACAACAACAACACGACGTCGTCAATAATCGGCAGTAAACGGACGGCCCGTAAATCGTTGTTTTCATCGATATTTGATCGCTTGTCGGCCCTGTTTTTGGGCGTWCCCTACAATCCGACATGGCAATCCAACAAAACAGCGAACCACTMCTTCCGGCCAACCAATTGAACAAATTGGTTACACTTATGCGGGCCATGCAATCGATTRGAAATGTGTCCGCTGGTGCTGACCATAAAACMCGAACCGATRTTAGCAAACTGCAAACACTCAACCGATTGCAGTCCATTCAGGAACTCAACCGACTGGCCAATCAGCGCCAGTAYCTGAACTCCAATCAAATCATGAATCCCTATCGATATGAAGCCGTACTGAATTTAGTCAAACTGGTCGGTACGGCCAGCGGCCAGAATCAGCTGTTGTCGCTCATCAGACTGTTTACGGCACCGCAGGCTGTTTCAAGAGTACGCGAAACCAATAATCTGAGTCAAGAAAAACTAAGACAAYTGATGAAAGCCATCGAAGAACAGGAAAATCGTCGCCGACAAGAACTGGAGAGACAACGCCATAAAGATATACTGCAGGAACTGTTGAGGAATCAGGAAAGACAACAACAACAGATCAATAGTCTGATCCGATTAATTGAATCGCAAAACAACAACAAACATAATAATAATAATAATGGAAACACTAATGATATTACCGGTAATAATGTCTTCAATGGTTACGTTAGGCCGACCACCACTCAGAGGTAGAGTTTGTATTGCATTTTTCAYGGCTTATTTAATAAACTTTTTTTGCGCCTMCCAGTCCATTGACCACTGATGCCAATCAAAATCCAGTTATGGCTAAACTAAAAGAACAGAGACGACAGCTAAACAATTTGCTGAAGACATTGGGATCAGATTTTCCCAGTCCTAACAACAACAACAACATCAATATCCAGCCAAACAACCAAATCAATAGACTACCGGCGCCTACAATGAGCGTACAGCCACCATATGCACCACTACCACCATCAKCGGCCAGTTCGTCRGCAAACTTCGGTCAAACACAACAAATGTTCGGCGATATACTGAAATCGATAGCACCGATGATGGGTATGCTGTCCCAGTCGGGTCTGGTATCGCCAAATCAATCATTGCTGGTTCAGTCATCACTGTCCCAATTACTTAATCAACCGAAAATACAGACCCGAATACAATACGATTCGTATAAATCAATGGCCAGAAAATTCATAGACCTATTGGGCTCTATGTTAAACATCAACTAATTTATTATTATTATTATTATTAAAAAAACAAAATATTTATTTTYTTTTYTTGTATTATATCTCTTGTTTAACCAAATACCACATACCGTCCGAACTAAGAACTAATCGATCACTAGTTGATCCACTTGTTGTCGTGTCGTTGTTGTTAACTCTTGATGATTGGCATAAACTTCTTCTTGTCTATCATTATCTTTGCCATCAATTGATGATTCTCTACTACCGGTAGTACTATTATTCACTACTAGATTGTAGTCATTGTCCTCATCATCATCATTGGTGGACAAAATTTTTGTTATCGTTGTCTTTAATTTGGTCGCCGATGATCTATTGGTACTACTATTCCTCACTATATCACTAAAATCTTTATTATTGTTGTTGTCGTTGTCGTCTAATTGATTCAATAGATGATTGATTTCTCTCATTTCGTTACGTCTATCCCGAGTATAACCATTTTTACCGAAAACCGTTCGGCTATTGTTACCGAAAAAATTCAACTTTTCCTTCCGATTGKTTATCAATGATTTSATTATTGACTTGTCATTGATGGCCGAATTTTTCTTTGTTGTTTTCCGACCAACATATTTGTCTGMCRCCGTTGTTGTTGTCTGACACTCGACCGAATTGGTCAGAAGCGGTGGTCGCTGGCATCGATCGCACCGGTAGTTAGGCTTAGCGATATGAATCTGTTTGTGAACAGTTAGATAACTTTGTGTGGCAAACGTATTGCGGCATCCATTGTAATCGCATCGGTATTTCAATAGTTGGYGRTTGTTGGTCGGTATCRCCGCTGGTAACCGCTGGCGTTTGTGCGMCAAGTTTATGGTCTCTAAATTCGCGGATATTGTCAAACTTTTGGCCACAATAATGACAAACTGTTTTGKAATCGCCGCCGAGACTTTTGTTTCATTTTGTGGCCAATTTTCTGCGACGATGTCGACGACGACGGACCAGTTATCTGTTTGACCCAATAGTCGACACCATCAGCACTGATGGTGTCGTCGTCATCATTGTTAGTCAATTGATCTATACATTGGTTATCARTGTCCTCATCAACAATATCTTCACTACTATTGTCTTCATTATCGTTAACTTCTTCTACTTCTACTTCTTCTTCTCTATAATCAACTCGTCGTCTCTTTCGTTGTTTGCCATCAATTAATAAGTAGTYATCRKTTGTTTGACAGCCAATTGATACCAAKTKATCGGTGATCTTAACAGCTATKGATTGCTCTTCTTCTTCTTCTTCTTGTTCTTCTGTTTCTTCTTCTTCTGTCACTAAATAGTGGATCCAAATAATGATATMAAAACCACAGAAAAAAAYAAAACTAAGACATRACTTACCGATTGTCTTATAAGATGAAGGAGTAGTCAAACGTATCAAACATTTRGTATCATTGAACTGCTCTAAGATACCGATCTCTCGGACAATCGATCGGCAAACTGGTCGCTGACATCGTCAYCAWCGGCGGCGGCGGTGTAGTCAAYAAACTGTCGATATTTGCTGACCAACAGCCGATATCTGACCAAATCGGTGGCCAATTGATTGGTCTGTCGYCTCAATTGTSTTATCAATKCAAACAACTGTTGTCTGGTCTTCAGCGACGACAACGACGACGACGAGTGATAGTCAGTGACCGACAAATGCATTGAATTTTAKTTTTGTTAAAAAATTTTATTATTTATTGGATTTTATTTTAATCATTAAAAACAAATTAAAAACAAATATATAATTTATTTGACTCCAAAAAAATATACTAAAAAAAAATAGGATTCAATTGAAAACATTTTTTTTTTTTTTAAAATAAATTTATGACAAAACATATGATATGTTTAATAATAATAATATTCAATAATTTACAATAAATAATGTTTTTKTTTGTGTGTGTGTGTATTATAATTGAATTATAATTGAATTRTAATTKAATTATAATWGAAATGTAATTTAATTRTAATTRAATTGTAATTRAATAGTGTTTTTAATTTATACAATAATWTKTTTTTATATGAATTATATTAACATTGGTTAACAAAACAATTATTTTAATTTTWTTTTTWTTCCATATATTAATMTATATATATATATWTTAATTAAATTTCTATTTAAATATATTTGTTCAAAAATAATTATTATTTTTAACTAATTTGAGATATTTAAGTAATGCATATTAAATGGGTATTATTATTAATTAAATWTTTAWATATATAATAATTTTTATAATATATATATAATAAATATTAACGGTATAACTAATTACAGTAACTATAATATAAACATCTTATATAGATTAATTAATTATTTAATTTTTTAATTAATTAATTATTATATTATATTGTTTGATTTATGCAACAAACTTGCAAAAAAATTAATATATTAATAGATATATTATTATTATTATTATTATATATATATATTTTAGTCGTTAATACCTAATCTAACTTTTAGTGTCATTTTAGGCTTYACTCGACTATTATTATTATTATTATTATTATTATTATTATTTCTATTACTCTTAGACTTACTTTTTCTTTKMTTTGATTTCAATTTACTGGATCTCTTGTCTACCATCGCTGATGATGACGATGTCTTGACATTACTAATCATTTTCTGATTATTATTATTATTATTATTATTGATTTTTATTATAGTATTTCTATTTCTCTTAATTTTTGAATTTGTATTCAGAATATTCTGATTCTGAGAAAATTCTTCATTAAATGAATTCATGTTATTATTGCTTAGATTATTATAGTTTAGATATATATCTGAATATTCATTATTATTATTATTATCATKATTATTGCCATTGAATTTAATTACTTTCGATAAGACAACAGTTGGCACACATTTCAAGTGCCGTATACGTCGGTAAAGTAAATGATCCCGTTTTCGTGTCGTCGCCGACTATTATCATTACTATCSATCCAAAGTGACCGWTCGTCGCACTCGATCGGACAGCCGTACAGTTCAATAACATTGCGACGATTTTCCCKCAGAAACGGTTCAAATATTTCCCGATCCAAACGATTTAGCCGGTGATTACATTCATTATAACCGCCCAAATACAGTATSACTCGCCGACCGTTWCCRCCGATAAACGATTTGCTGGTAAAACTATCCGAACCGAGTCGGTTGTCCTCTAAGTGTATGCGTACCGTATGGTTGGCCGACTGGCGAAATGCAAACGCATAGGAACTGATAGTCGATAGGCGATTGTGTTGTAGCTGTAGGTGCCGTAGTTCGGACAGACCATAGAAAGCATACGAATTCACAGTTTCCAGYCGTTGTCTGTCCGCGTAGTTATGAAAGCTAACTGTGCGAACATCCGARTACTGGTTAAACGCTTTGCCCGGTATAGACGTATAGCCGCTGGTCATCACTTCCAGCGATCGCATGGCTGTCAAACTGTTTAGGGCTCTGAATGTCTGACGTTTGGCTGTCGGATCATCGGACAGATTGGTAGCATTGATCCACACGTGCCGTACATACGGTTCCGATCCGCTAAATGCCTGGCGAGCTATGTGTCTGAGTCCCGTACACTGGCGTATGTATATGTTTGTAAAACCCAGTCCTCCCAGTGAGTTGGCCTCCAATTCGGTGATCGCCGWATTGGAYAAATATAGCCAATTAAACTGTCGATCCCGGGCGTCGGCTATACTGGCGGCCACCCTATTGAACGTATGGCTAACATTGAAATGTTGATCACCAGCACAGGTAATAACAGGTGTCTGACAATCATAGGAGATGTTATCTGATTTGTTGTWATTTTTATGACAATTATTATTACGATTATTATTATCTACAGGACCTGTATGGCAGTAACACGGTTTCAATAGATCATATGATGGACAGGTAGTCGATATTGAATTAGTATGCAATAGAAATACTGATAATAATAGCGATATAATGATATTTGCTGTAAAATTAAAATTTTTTAGATTATATATATATATATCATAATTATTAAACACAATAATTATAATACTATACTTACATAACAAATTCATAACTAATTAAAAAATATTTTTTTATATATATATAAATAATRWTTTAATAATAGAAAATAAATTTTATTTTCTCAACAACAAAAAAAAACAATTTTGGATTTCTCATATCAAACTATAACATAYAKACACTGTTCAGCACTGGTAGGTATACTGAACTAAACACATAGAGAATCTGTATTATTATTATTATTATTTTGTTTGTGTGACTAACTATTATTAAACAGAATATTCTTGATTTTTGTCTGTCTGTCTATCTATATGTTTAAGTGCATCACTGGACTAACCCATCCAAGCAATTCAAACAACAATAATATTGACTTACCGTTTATATTATATATATATATATATATATATATATATATATATATATTATATTTATCAATAAAGCTGTCAAATACAGATATATATATATTGATAAATAAACATTTTATGTTTGTTAGTACATCATAGTACTGTATATATATATATATTTATTTAAATACCTATTGATTATCATATTGGTTATCATCATCATCATCTATTGTTATGTTTTTATCTTTAAGGCATATCATTTCTGATAAAATATAATATMATATAATGTATATATATATATATATATAAGGACTAAAACATTKATTTTATGTTTTTTGTTAAKATATATATAAAAGTAAAGTTAATGCTAAGTGAAAAAGTATAAGATTACTAAACAAATAATWTTTTTYSWGATATATCAATAAATATTATGTAAATATTATATTTAAATTAATTTTATTATTGAATATATATATATTCTGTATTCAAGATTTACGGTTTATTTTTCTAATTAGTGTCTATCATATRTGTATATAATATTTWTTWATTTTTTATATATAAAAGTTATAAATAAAAAAAATATYATAATAAATACATAATTTAATATAATATATAAATATATATAAAGTTATATAATTTAAATATCAAATAAGTTGTTTATTTTATCAATAAATCATTGATATGAGTTATTAAACTTATTTATTAAATTATTAAGTTGTTTAGTTATTAAATAATGTTTAAATTTTATAATTTTATTTATTGAAATCAAATACTAATTACCGGTAAATAAGATTTTAGTCTAATTATAGTCAACTTTATTGATCAATAATCTAATTACAAAACACAAAAAATTTACATTAAATAAAATATGATTAAAAAATTAATTTCAGTAATTTTCAATAGTGTTTTTGTGAACTTTTCACGAACTCCTGAAAGGAGTACGTACTGAATTCTATATGTCCTTCCGTCTGTCTGTCTGTCTGTCTTTCCTTCCGCATTTGATTGAAAATTGAAATTTTGACTTCAGATTTGGATTAGGCATCAAAAATAAGATATAGGGGATCAGCATTAAAATTCTGATATCTCTTCGGGAACATAAAGAAAATGGCGGCCAAAGTTAAAAAAAATTTAGATAAAAATTTTTAAGTATAGATTTGAATAAAGCATCAAAAACAAGCAAAGGAATTAGCMTTAAAATTTTTATATCTCTTTGGGAACAAAGGGAAAATGACGGTCAAAGTACAAAAAAAATGAAAAAAATATAAGTATAAATTTTAATAAAGCTTCAAAAATAAGATATAGTGATTGGTATAAAAAATTTAATATCT